ATGGCGGAGGTGAATCCAAAACGAATTTACGAAAAAAAACAAAACGAAAAGACACGCAAAGAAACAAAAAAACAAACAGACTAAAAAGAAAGAAAGTTCTTTGAGTAAGAAACAAAACCCACATAATAAGATGAATTGGTTGACGCACATTACAACCACGGTGAAGCCGAAGAACACATCAAATATTCAGATAAGGAGCGACGCTGAAAATACGTCTTGCATAATAAGTACTGGCGATAAACTGAACCAGATACTGTTTAGACAGAGTGAATAGAAAGATTACGGAGTTCATTTATTTTGTTTATGCATCTCTTCATTTACATATTTATGCATCTAGTCTCGTTTTACTCATTAATTGTGTTGTTTTGGCAATTCAGTCTAATATCCCAACATTATTTACCTTTTGAAACATACGAGGCAGCGTAGAGAGTTCAGCTGTGTTGGAAAAGCTCCGAGTACTACTACTTTATCGCAGTCTAGTTTTTTTTTCGTGGATAATAACACGTAATTTGTCAAGTTCAGCAATTCATAATCAAAAAATGTGTTTCAGGATAAAAAAAATCTTCGCAGTGTATACGGTGCCAATTTCATCCGCATAGACTATATTAACTAAAATCCTCTCAACATTTTGCAAAAAAAAAAAAAAAAAAACAGACGCGGACCAACATCGTAATATCGTTATCAGAGACAAAATGGATGGCATTTATCCTTCCCCCCCCCCCCCACACACCATGTTACTTTCTCGTAGAAGGCCACAGAAGCGGACTGAGTAAATGTGAAACAATTTGGAGAGCTTTCCAACCTGTTTAACGCCACGCTAAGAAGCTTGATAATCTGCTGATGATTAATTTCGATGAATTATTGTGTGCTTGTGTGTATGTATAATTATATAAATGTAATGTGAATGTTTGTGTGTTTAGATATATATATGTGTGTGTGCGTTTGTGTTTGTGTATGTGTATGTGTGTGTGTGTGTGTGTGTGTGTGTGTGTGTGTGTGTGTGTGTGTGTGTGTGTGTGTGTGTGTGTGTGTGTGTGTGTGTGTGTGTGTGTGTGTGCGTGTGTGTGTGCGTGTGTGTGCGTGTGTGTGTTCGACTATATTTAGGTATATGAAAGGTAAAACACTCTGCCGTGTTGATACTATGGTGGAAAAAAAAACAAACAAAACTAGGTATATATTATGATTATCATAATTAGTCATATCTGGCAGGAACTCTCATAATTAATTAAAGATACATGGGTGTACGTTGGTCATAGGATTTATTTATTTATTTATTTTTTAACAAAACCAAGAATATTAATTGCTAACAGTTGGAACCATTTGTGAAATACAGTTATTTAGAAATGCATGGATGTATTTATTATAATTATCATGTCTTTCATCTCAAATTGTATTCCTATCGTATTTCCATTCGCCTTCCACCTTCCGTGCGCCTTCTGATGACTTCCTCGCCTTCCTCAGGTGTGGCCTGGAGGGAGCGTCTACACGTCGGAGTCCTCTTGGTCCTCCAGCCTCCACTCGACGCCCACCGGCCTCCACGGTGCCTCCCCGAGCCTCCACGGCGGCGCCCCGTCCGGCCTCCACCTCGACCCGCGCTCGCCACAGCCGCAGTATGCTCACCAGCCGCACGCAACCGCCGCAGGCATCCACGGGGAGCGGCAGCCCCCTCCGGCACCCCCGCCGCCGCCACCGCCGCCGCCTCCCACATCGGTCGCTCCGTCCTGGCACCACGAGATGGCCCTCGCGGAGCCGGCGGGCGCCTTTGAGCTCCTCTGCCGGAGCGAAATGCAGGGGCACCTGGGGGAGGCGCACCCGCCCAGCCCCTTCTTCGTGGACCAGAAGAAAGGCAGCTCGACCCCCGCGTCCCCCCACGTCGGGAAGGAGGCCGCCTGCGGGGGAGACGCAGTGCCAATGACGTACAACCGCATAGCCGCGGCGGAGGCGGACAAGGCGCGCGGAGCCTTTTCCCCGCACGCCGACTTCGCCAGGGCTTCCTTCAGCGCCGTGCCGCAGGTCTCGGGCGCGGCGCCGACGAAGGAGGTTGCCGGACCCGCCGAAGGACGCATCAAATTGGAGGCGCCATACGTGCCCGAGGGCGTCCCTGCCACGGCCACGCCCACCTCCTCCTGCGCGCCGCGCCATGACTACAACGCCAACCTGCCGCTGTTTCACCAGCAGCTGCAGCACCACCACCAGCAGGCGGCCTCGTCCTTCCAGGCGGGGCTGGCCGGCTTCCCCGCGATGCAGCACCAGCAGGCGTCCTACCAGCAGATGGCGGGGCAGCAGTACTCCTTGCAGCACTCCGCCACGTCCCAGCAGCAGCACCAGCAGTACCAGGGGGCGGGGGGGCCCATGGGGGCGTGGGGCGCGGCCTACCAGAGCGGCGAGGGCAGCACCTACGGCGGCGACCAGCACTACAACATCTACGCCCGCTCCGTCTACATCCAGGGCGGCCCTCAGTACCCTTACCCGGGGTATCCGGGCATCGGCGCCTCCCCCGCGGGGCCGTCGCGCCGCCCCACCGTCCCGCAGGGCGTCCTGCCGCCGCCGGGGGTCGCGGCGCCCGCCCTCACGACCCCCATGAAGGCCCGGCGGAGACGGCGCTGGACGCGGCGGAAATCGATCGTGCACACGTGCCCCCACTCGGGCTGCGCCAAGATCTACGCCAAGTCGTCGCACCTGAAGGCGCACCTGCGCACCCACACGGGCGAGAAGCCGTACACGTGCGACTGGAAGGGCTGCGGCTGGCGCTTCGCGCGCTCCGACGAGCTCACGCGCCACTACCGCAAGCACACGGGCGACCGCCCCTTCCAGTGCCGCCTGTGCGAGCGCGCCTTCTCGCGCTCCGACCACCTCAGCCTCCACATGAAGCGCCACATGGCGCTCTGAGCGACGCGCGAATCCGAATAGTGTTTTGAGTGCCACTCAAATTCGAGTCGAAGGTGCCAACCATATGGTGCGCTGAGTGATACTCGAGACCGGCCGGCGCATGAGTTCGGTTCGAAGACGCCTCCGCATAAAGCAATGCACACGCTCTGAGGACGGGGAAAGATGCGGCGACGCGCATACGCGAGCGCACAGACTTAGGCTGGACAAAATGACGGAGTGCCGCTGACACCTCATGACAAAAAGATTCATGAGGTGAGTTTCAAGCGGTCTCGGGCCTTCGGCGTGAGTGCGGGACAAGAAACTAATGTTTCGTGAATTTGTGTATTTATTTATATCAAACAGTCAGACATTATAGTGAAAAAGCAGATGAAGTGAAAAGTGTGAGACACTGCAGTTGCGATGAATCTACAGTTTCTACTTTGAGTACTTTTATATGCACACATAATTACACACACACACACACACACACACACACACACACATACAGATATATACTTATATATATATATATATATATATATATATATATATATATATATATATATATATATATATATATATATATATATATATTTATATGTACATATATATATATATATATATATATATATATATATATATATATATATATATATATATATATATATATATATATACAAACATATATATATATATATATATATATATATATATATATATATATATATACATATATATATATATATATATATATACAAACATATATATATATATATATATATATATATATATATATATATATATATATATATATATATATTTATATATATACATATATACACACACTATTGTTACCATTGTTGTCATCATCATCTTAGTATCATCATAACTATTATCATTATCATTATCTTTATTGAATATTATTTTTATTATTGTTATTGTGAATATCTTTATCATGATACTGACATTATTATTATTTCCATTATTAATGCTCTTATTGACAATATTATTATTATTACTATTATTATTATTATCATTATTGTCATTATCATTATTATTATTATTATTATTATCATTATTATTATTATTATTATTATTATTATTATTATTATTATTATTATTATCATTATTATCATAATTATCACTACCATCGTTGTTGTTGTTGTTATCATTATTAATATTATCATTAATATCATAATAATTGTTATTATTATGATTATCATTGTCATTATTTCATCATCATCATCATTATTATTATTGTTATTATCATTATTGTCATTATTATTATTGTCATTATTATTTTTGTCATTATTATTATTATTATTATCATTATTATTATTACTATTATTATTATTATTATTATTGTTATTTTTATTATTATTATTATTATTATTATTATTATTATTATCATTGTTGTTATTATTGTTATTATTATTATTATTATAATTATTATTATTATTATTATTATTGTTATTATTATTATTATTATTATTATTATTATTATTATTATTATTATTATTATTATTATTATTATTATTATTATTATTATTATATTTACCATTACTATCACTATATTATATTTACTATTACTATTACTATTATCACCATTATTGTTAACATTATCGTTATTATTATTATTATCGTGTTTATTTTTATTATTATTATTGATATCAATATTATCATTTTTATTGTTATTATTATTATTATTATTGCTATTATTATCATTATTATTATTATTATTATTATTATTATTATTATTATTATTATTATTATTATTATTATTATTATTGTTATTATTATTATTATAATTATTATTATTATTATTATTATTATCATTATTATTATTATTATTATTATCATCATTTTCATTATCATTATTATTATTATTATTATTATTATTATTATTATTATTATTATTATTATTATTATTATTATTATTATTATTATTATTATTATTATCATTATTATTATTATCATTATTATTATTATTATTATTATTATTATTATTATTATTATTATTATTATTATTATTATTATTATTATTACTATTATTATTATTATTACTATTATTATTGTTGTTTTTATTATTATTGTTATTATCATTATTATCATTATTAGCGTTATTATTATTC